CTACCAGCCTTGGCCTGAGGAAGAGCATGTGGCAAATCCCGCAAGAGTTGTCAAAGGCTCTGAAGGAGGCGGCATTTCATTGGCCAAACAGTCCCATGGCTGTAATTCTCTTGCGGGGGGAGGAATAATCCCACCCTGTGTATGTATGGTGGCAAACCAGGGCCTCCACACCCCCTGCTGGCTGCCCCCAGGGTGCCAGCGTTCAAGTGGGGGACCACACAGAGGTCCGGTTGGAGCCCCTGGTATACACGAAAATGTGGGGGAGAAATGAACACCATCTAAAAAAGGATGATGTTAATGATTTATGAGAAATGACGGGCCAGCAGGTGACATGGTGGTTAGGGCACTGGATCCCATGTGGCCAGCACGCCGTTCAAGTCTCAGACTCAGTGACGTGAAAATCACCCTAGGCGTGTGTGCAAGCGTGCGCGCCCAAGATCCAGAGAGGAGAACGGAGGAGGAGGGATTGCAGCGTGCCATCCCTGGGAGAGGGACTGAGGTGAGGGATGGTGCCTCACCTTCCCTCCCTGTCTCTGTCCAGCCAGTGCATACGCTGTATAGCAAGAATTACCATTTTCCAAAAACATCTGTTATGTACTTAGACGTGCAGCTCAAACCGTGAAGCTTATGGAAGTGTTCCGCAGCAGCCGGGGCAGACCCCTTGCTCCCGCTGGGTTGTCCCCCTTGCACTATCTCCCAGCGTGAGGCTCGCCGGGATGCGTGTTCAGAGGCAGCTGTCTGCCCGCTCGGTCGTGAGTCTGGCCCAGCCCGTGTCCTTGCACAGCCTACATCACACACTCGCCCGCGTTAGATGTCAGCCTCCCAGGCCGTGGACACCCAGGGCAGTGAGCGGCGCGTGTCCGTAAGGAGACCTGGGCACACCTGGACGGGCCCCTGTGCCTGCCGCGAGGTGCCAGGCAGGAGAGGCAGCCTCGTTGGTCCTGGGGGCCACCCACTCATCTTCCACTTTTCTTGACCTGAAATGGGGCCGACCCCTGCACGGTACTGTGGTGCCCCTCCCCAAGGGTGTGTTAGGGGCTATAGCTTCTGCAGGTCTGAGCTTCCTTCCAGTACAGCTGGAAACCGTGTGGGGCTTGTGGGAAGCCTGGGCCGAGGGCGGAGCTTCAGCGGCTCTGTGCTGGGCCTGCCAGTGCCTAGTGGGTGCCACGTGGTGTGCCTGTCCCGGGAGGCGCATTCTCTGCCCCTCCCAGCAAGCGCTGGGAGTTGGTTTTGTCTTTGTTTTTTGTTGTTTTCGTTAATTTGCTAGAGGTCATGATAGAGAAATAAAAAGGAAAAGAGTTAAAAAGAAGGCGAGAAAGTGAGAAATCACCCCCAGGGGCATGGCCATGCTGCAGTCCCTTCTTCTGCGGGACCCCCCCTCCCCGGACTAGGCATGCTCGCACAGGAACCCGGCGTGGTTTTTAAGCCACCAGGTCTGGGTCTCAGGCTGAGGAGTCAGCCGTGCGCGATCAGCCTTAGCTCCCTTCTGCTGCCCCAGCAGTGTCCGCCGTCTCGGGGAAAACCGTCCGGCTTACCACTCTTCCATCGCTTCTCCCACCCGCTCCTGTCCATGTTTCTGGTTGCCCATCAGAGATCCAGACGTCTGGGTGTCTTGCCTCCTGGAGCTGTAAGCACAGCCCTGCACGATGCGTGTCGAGGCTCCTCTGCCACCAACACACAGGCCCTTAGTCGTTGTGAGGCCGCAGGAAATGTGTCGTATTTATTCAGGAAGTGTGAAATTGTCGTGGCTTTCTGTCTGGGAAAAACACAGGTATGTAAGTCAGACATCTGTGTCCTGAGTCGAGGTATTTTTCACTGCAGTACTTTGCTGTCACTTCTCCCGGGGAACCTGTGTGATCCGTATGTGCTAAGCGTGCAGCGTGCCTGCCGCTCCTAGGTGAGCGCGATTGGTCTGACAGAGCCAGCAGGCTCCTCACAGTCTCTGGTCACACGCGCCCTCCAGGCACGTGCCGAGTCGCGAGTGCCCTTGCTCCTCGGGGCTTTGCAGCGGCAGCCCTGCGGGAGCTCCCCTCTAGGCAGCGTGTGACCCACCAGGGCAGGAGGGCTAGCTCGGGCTCAGCAGCCCATCTGTTCCTTTTCTTTCTGAGCACTTGCACATCTTTGTTGTAGAGTGGCTGTCGCAGCTTCAGGTCAGCCCTGGTACTGTGTGGCCTGCTGACCATACGGGCTGCAAAGACAGAGGAGTGAGTGAACCAGGGAGAGTGAGAAACCCCGGGCTCGTGGGGGCACTTCACACGGACCCACAACCCCAAGGGCCTGCGCAGGAACACCGGGAACCCAGCGGTATAGCCGTGTAGGGGGCGTCGTGGTGCGTAGCGAGCTGGGTGTTATCCCATGATCATGTCAAGATCTGGAACTGCAGGCCTTCATGAGAGCATCACCACACGGGTACACACTCACATGTGTGCACCGAGGGTGGGGATACACGGTCACGCGTGCACCGAGGGTGGGGATACACAGTCACGTGTGCACCGAGGGTGGGGATACACAGTCACGTGTGCACTGAGCATGGGGATACAGTCACGTGTGTGCAATGAGGGTGGGGATACACAGTCACGCGTGCACGGAGGGTGGGATACACAGTCACGCCTGCACTGAGGGTGGGGATACACAGTCACATGTGTGCACTGAGGGTGGGGTGGGGATACACAGTCACGCGTGCACAGGGGGTGGGGATACACAGTCACACACGTGCACTGAGGGTGGGGATACACAGTCACGTGCACTGAGGGTGGGGGTGGAGATACACAGTCACACGCGTGCACTGAGGGTCGGGATACACAGTCACACGCATGCACTGAGGGTGGGGATACACAGTCACACATGCACTGACGGTGGGGATACACAGTCACACATGCACTGAGGGTGGGGATACACAGTCACACGCATGCACTGAGGGTGGGGATACACAGTCACACCTGCACTGAGGGTGTGGATACACAGTCACACCTGCACTGAGGGTGGGGATACACAGTCACACCTGCACTGAGGGTGTGGATACACAGTCACACCTGCACTGGGATGCACAGTCACACGCGTGCACTGAGCGAGGGGATACACAGTCACACGTGTGCACTGAGGGTGGGGATACACAGTCACGTGTGCACTGAGGGTGGGGATACAGTCACGCGTGCACTGAGGGTGGGATACACAGTCACGCCTGCACTGAGCGTGGGGATACACAGTCACACGTGTGCACTGAGGGTGGGATACACAGTCACGCGTGCACTGAGGGTGAGGTACACAGTCACACGCCTGCACTGAGGGTGGGATACACAGTCACGCGTGCACTGAGGGTGGGGTACACAGTCACACGCCTGCACTGAGTGTGGGGATACACAGTCACGCGTGCACTGAGGGTGGGGTACACAGTCACACACGTGCACTGAGGGTGTGGATACAGTCACACGTGCACTGAGGGTGGGGATACACAGTCACACGCGTGCACTGAGGGTGGGATACACAGTCACATGCATGCACTGTGCATGGGGATACACAGCCACGTGTGCACTGAGGGTGGGGTACACACTGTTCAGGCTGGCGTGGTCTTCCCCAGTGGCCCTGTGGTGACTGAGCCCTGGCATTCACCAGACTGTCTTTCTCTGTTTCTCTGTTTCTCTCTTTCTTTTTAATATGTAGACTTTCTGGAGGAAGTAAGAACTTTTTACTTTTAATAATTATTTACTTTTTTAAATTATTATTATTTTTTTTAATTTATTTGACCGGAGAGAGAGAGAAAGATGGGAAGTGAGAAAACCAGCTGCCAGGTCCAGGACCCAAACCATGGTCCACCATGTGGGAGTCCAGCACCTTAACCACCATGCCACCTGTTGGCCCCTGCACCAGACTTCTTTCTAAAGACACCTGTGTCAGTATTGCATTAGACTCGGTGCCATGTTCTGCTTCTGCAGACACCTTGGTGTCCCTGCCCCAGAACATACCACCGGGATCCTGCAGATGTGGGGATGGGGCACGCTCGGGTTAGCGAGGGGATGGTCTCACCTCGGCCTGCCGGCCGCCAGCCCTGAACTGCAACCTGCAGAGCCCCCTGCTCAGGGCCTTGGTATCAGGGAACCTTGTTGGAAATGAAATCAAAATTCCTCTGCTGGCCAGGAGCGTCATCGGGCTACTCAAAACAGGGACAGTCTGGAGCCTGCCCCTCCGCAGAGAATGTTTTAGGATTCTGTAGATAAGATTACATGCGCAGTCCTAGGGGTTGAAGGGCCAAGAGAAGCGAAAGAGGGGACCAGGTTCCCGGATGAAGCTCCAGCGGCCAGAGTGCTTTGTTATAGCACCTGCTCCCTGAGCCCATCAGCCCTGAGAACCCCCGCAGCCTCGTGGCAGCGCCGTTGCCGGGTCTCCCTCAGGACGGCGCGGTACGGCCTGCCTGCCTTCTGTGACACTTCCAGATCACGCACAGCCAGGCTGACCATCCGCCAGGGCTGGGACTGCATGGCAGAACAGCTAGTCCCTGCCTTCCGGGGCCTGCCAGGGAGAGTATTAGAAATCATTGAATCCCAGGATGCCCAGTCAGGTAGGACTCCATGTATAGCCCTTCAACTATGTGGTTAAAAGGTATCCGAAATGCAGCCTAGCAGACTTAAGCACGAAAGGGAGTGAGTGAGTCATAAAGGTGAAACTCAACAGCCTTGAAGGGACTTGGGAAGGAAGCCGGGGAGGCCCGTTTACTCGAGTCCAGCCCCAGAAGGATCTGATGCCTCCAGCGTGGGCACGTGCTCGCTTCTTGCCTAGGGGGGACAGCGCTTGGATTGTCTCCTGGGCCGTGCAATGACAGGCAGGCCATGTCCCGGAGAGAGAATGGGTGCTAGAAAGGTGGCCGCCAGGCGCTTGGTCGGTTAGCCGTGGTGTTTCCTGCACCAGTGAGCAAGCAGGGGCCTGCTGGGCGTGCTCAGGGTGAGGCGGTGACGCCAGCCGGGAGGAGCAGCACTCACGCAGTCCTGTCCTGTGCTCCGTCCTAGTGTGAGCAGTCGCACCTCATGAGAGAACACGAGGACGTGCAGGAGCGGACGACGCTGCGGTACGAGGAGCGCATCACCGAGCTGCACAGCATCATCGCCGAGCTCAACAAGAAGATCGACCGCCTGCAGGGCAGCACCATCAGGTACGCGGCGCCCTCCGCTTCCTCCGTGCCCCAGCGCCACGCTGGCCTCGGGGTCAACGTCGAGCCTGGGTGACGGTGACACTCCCTTTGTGGCCAGGACCGGGCCTGCCGTGGTGGACCGTGTGCTCCCACGCCACTGTTCTGTCCTGAGGGTGGACGCGGTGGGGCTGTGATCCGCAGCCCACCGATGAGGGTGTGGGGTCAGAGTCCTGTGAAGTGTGTATTCCTGAGTGCTAGCTGGAGCCCTGTTCCCGAGACCAGCGTCTCCACCACCCCACTCCACACCGGCGCGCACACTGCTGTCTCCCGGAGGTTCGGATGGAGTCACCAATACCACTTATGAGCAGGCTTTACACAGGCTCCCGGGTAACCTGCCGATGTTCATGTCGGGTTCTTTACCAACACCGACCTCCCACCACACTCCGGAGGCAGGCGCCGAGATTCGATTGCTCATCCTACTTGTGGAAAAGCTCAGGCCTGGAAGCAGTCACGGGCTTCCACGTAGTTCTCAGCGGACGGCCAGTGAGGACAGCGGGGGCCCCGGCCTTGACCCTGTTTTCTCCCATCGCACCATGTCTCCCACGGCGGGGTCTGGCTGCTGGTCTGCCATCGTGCACAGCAGGGGCTGTTCAGTGACCTGCCGGGGCGGGGTCTGGCTGCTGGTCTGCCATCGTGCACAGCAGGGGCTGTTCGGTGACCTGCCGAGGTGAGGACACCACCCGTCCCCCTGCCTGGCAGAGCCGGGAGAGAGCACTGAGGAAGGGCAGTGGTCAGAGGAAGGTGCTTTGTCCACACCCTGATGGGAACAGCGTGAATGGCGGCTACTCAGCCCTCCCTCTAGAAGTCCTAGGTCAGAGGAAACCGAACGCATTTGTTTCCAACCCCTAAGAGCCGCAGTAGCGACAGGCCCGCGCGATGAGGGCACCGACGGGCCTGCTTCCTTGGGA